ACATATTCATTTATCAGTACACGTCAATGGATAGTTGAAAATATTTAGTTCACCTCCATGAAAAATAAATTGTTGATACATGTACAGAGAGATAGATACTAAAATTTTGTTAAACTATTTCACAATTTGAATTCTAAAGAAAACATTAACAAAAAAATCTCTATTGCATCTATGCTTGTACCACATGCATAATGATTGTAACACTTATCCATCTTAATTACCACTCTGTAATTGACTACGTAATGGATTATAATGAGACTGATCGATGTTATAAGTCATCCTCCTAACTATTTTGAATTTTCTGATAAAATAAACTTGGATAAAATGAATTAATTACAGTACATTTGCTTCATTCAATTTTTTTATCGTTTAGTGTGATCATGTAATTGACCTCTGATGTTTAGATATATGAATTAATGTTGACATATTCATTGTTTAAAATTGTGTTGTTCACAAAATTGAAAAATATCATTTATAAGAAATCCATAGATTTATACATTCTTATAGAGTCTAATAATTTAAACCTATGAACTTTTTTTAAAACTTTTTGTAGAATATTGAGCATTGTATTAATTATAAGTATATTGGTTATGAATGTATAACTAATCTATACTTGTGTGTAGACTTAGGTTCAAGTGAGAAATTCATCTAATGTGAGAAATGAGAACTAATCTCAACCATTAGATTTATGACATTGCTCTAAAAATAGTTTCATGTTGCAGTAAGATTTAAATTTTGCAGTGTTGTACTAAAATTGTTTCATGTTGCACTAATCTTTGACGATGTTACACCAAGACAACTTAATGTTCCACTAGAAAACTGTAATACGAGTATGAATTTTTCAGAAAATGTCACTATATAAGCTATGTTGCATATTGTAGTGCAATATACAGTGTTTTTACTGCAAAATATTTGAATCCAACAATTGAGATTCATTATCATTTCTCACATAAATGTTTCTTCTTATTTGAACTTCACTCTATACTCTAAAAAAATTCCCTAAAAAGACCCTTTTTTTATCTTCCTTGACAAACACAAGAAGAAAATGGATGATCTTTTCTTCCATGTTGTCCATCCAATGCCTACTTTGGAGGATAAAAACAAAGGCCCGCTTTTGTAGACTTGTTCTTTCTTTTCCTTTTATCCCTTTGTTCTTCCTTTTCCTTTGTTCTTCCCTTTGTTCTTCCTTTTCCTTAGTTCTTCCCTTTGTTATCCTCTTCCTCCCTTCCCATCCCTTTCCCGATTCTTTCCTACCCTCGACTCCCCTCGACTGCTACTTCCTGCCCCCCTACCCCCACAGGGGGGTTTCGCGCCACCGAGGTAGCATAACGCCCCTTGGCGCTCCGGCCCGACACCAAGGCAGCGGGACGCCCCGAGCCGACCGGCCTAAACCTAACCCCTAAGCCTAACGGCGCCCTCCCCCTAAAAGGACCAATCAAATAGATTTGTATTGTAATTATATATACTCTACTTTTCTCTAGCCAAGCCCATTTTATTATTAGAATATAGTCCAAGCCCATGTATTTCAGATGAATGATTATACTATCTGGACCCTATATTTTCGTGTAATGCCCCTATAATAGAAAGTCTTTCATGTTCAATTCTCCCTTTTACTTCTAGACATTAAATCTTTTTACCTGTCTTAAATTTTATTTATTTAATTAAGTTCAATATATTTTAGTTTAAGCTCATCGAAACAAAGACATTATATATTTTACCAAAATAATATTAAAAATCATAATATTTAAATAAAATTCGTAATAAATAATTTAGGTTGACAAATATATCCTAAGCTCTCAGTCTTTTCTCAAACCCTAGCCTCCATTCTCCCACCTCCGTAGATCCACCCGCCTGCAGCCGCAAGCCCCTACCGCCGCCGCCACCCCATGGCCCGCCGTCTGTCGCCGCCCCATGCCCCGCCGTTCGCCGCCGTCCAGGAGTATGTTCGCTGCAGCCAGCCCGTTGATTTCCCAGCCACTCTAGCCCCACGCCTACTCGACACAGCCACCATCCAAACCAATGTGATCCACACATGTGATCGTCCCTACACATGTGCGCTGCTGCCGTCCCAATCCACATGTGCTACCGCCGTCGCGAACCATGCAATCTGCCGCCCAGTCGCCCGCCTCTATCTGATGCGCTTACCATGGAATGCTGCCAAAACCTCGTAGGGAGGACCATGGGTGCGCGCGCAAGTTATGTACGTGAAACTAGGTTTGTAGCAATTTGTACGTGAGGATGGGCCTGCAAGATTGGGTTTGCTTTGGATACGGAGGCCACTCCTTTGGATTTGTTGCGTGAAATTTTTTATTCATTAAATATGTGCAGTGAATATGGGAAGTGAACATCACAATAGATATTGTAGAGCATGGTAAGTGAATTTAGGGGTTGTGTGCATTAAATATGGGCATTGAACATTGGCAGTGAACACGACAATAAGTGTTGAGTATATATGACAGTGAATATGACAATATATATATAGTACATGGCAGTAAATGAATACATTAAGAAAGTTTGCAGTGAAATCATTATGACCAATAGTGTAATAATGTCGCCATGAAACACAATATACTTAATTAGATGTAAAATAATGCAATTACTAAATCTAAAAAAATAAAAAATAAAAATTTTGAATAATTCCGTATAGTGAATGAGAAGATAATTATTTTTTTCGGAAATGCATTGATTATTACCGAATGTGCATTAATATCGTGCATTAATGTCGTGCAGTAACGATAATATAAAGTGCAGTAATTTTAACTGGACGAAATTAGTGCAAAATCCACATGGGTATATTCGTTATTCAATTTTTAAATAAACAGGGTATTTTTGTCATTCAATTTTTAAATATAAACAAAATTTGTTTTTTATTTTTATTTTCGGTCATTCAAAAGTCCAAAAACTAGTTACGTCATAGATTGGGAAACTCATTCAGTTTAGTCATATATTTTGGTCATATCGAGATTTAAATAAATTTCTCAGTTAGCCAATATCAGTTAGAGTACGACATTTACGTGCTCATGCATATTTTATTAGGAATTCCGATCAGGCGTTTATGATTATTGTATTATAGAGAAAAGAGGCAAATAAACCTTTATTTAGGAGGCTCTGTTCAGTCGTCACCATTTGGGTCGGTTCCCGGTGACATTTTTTTATAAATTTTTTTGAGCATTTTATTCATTAAGTCTAGTTACTCATACCAAATTTCAGGTAAAACTTCAATCAGGAAGGCATTCAAATGACTTCTTGAAGATAAATGCCCTTTTAATTGCGTAGTTATCTTCAAGAATTCATTTGCATACCTTCCCGATTGAATTGTTAGCTGAAATTTGGTAAAAATAAATTAGACTTAATGAATAAGATGATAAAAAAAATCATCAAAAAATTACACCGGGAACTGCCCCAAATGGCAACGGGCGGACACAATCCCCTATATAAGGGCTTATTTGACTTTTTTAGTTAGTACGTGGGCTTAGTTGGCCCTTTTCCCTTGTATTATATGTTGATGATCTAAATATAATCGTGATTCCTGACCAACTTCAAAAGGTCATAGAATATGATGCTTAAAAAGAGAACTTGAAATGAAGAATTGGGAAAATGGAAACTATTAATCCAATCTTTTAGCGGTCTACTTACAATAATACAACCTTTTCGTTATTCATGAATAATCCAACCTTTGCACCTCATCTTCATTCACTGGTCTCTGACCGGTTGATGACATGTTATTCCAAGTTATTTTCTTATCTTTGCAAGCTGTTAAATGTCCCACACCGGAAACATTTGGATGAACAAAGTGCTATATTAACACACGGGCTACTCCTCCTATCAGGTTGACCTTTTAAGATGAAACCTTAAGTCTTAACATGGTATCAGAGCCAAATCGATCCATGGTGTGGGACCCCTTATGAAAAATGATGACACGAATAAAAAAACGGCCGGATGAAAAAAACGGACCGATGAAAAAAAATGAATGATTGCACGATCCAGACGAAGTGTCTGGTCGTGAGGATGGAACCTCAAGTCTTAACACAAGCCGTTATACCATAAATCTCACCTTTCACAAAAATAATATTTTGCAAAAATAAGAAAATAACTTGGAATAACATGTCATTAACCGGTCAAGGACCAGAGAATGAAGATGGGGTGCAAGTGTGCAACGGTTAGATTATTCTTGAATAACGAAAAGATGAGACTATTGTAAGAAGACCGATAAAAGATTGGATTATTAGTTTCCATTTTCCATCCGCTAAGTAAACTGTAAAGTAATATGGGCTATAGAGGCTCATTTAACAATAAAATTACCACATCACTAGGGAGGAGTAGTCGGTCCCGTGCATACACTACGTATGAAGTTTTAAATTGAAATATTTTCGCTTTCAGATTGAACAAGATGAGACTTAAACAGTTAGATTAGATTTGAACAAACTAATTAACAAGGTAGATTAAACAAAATTTCAAAACTATTAAAATAAAAATGCATCAAACGTGTATGAGACCAAACTAATTTAGAATATACTTAAACATCCAAATTAAATTAGATTAAACTTAAATAGATTATATCATAAAATATTAGTTAACTTCAAAACGTGGAACATTTGAATCCAGCGGTCTCCAATTATTGAGTTCTAAGGAATTTAAAACGAAATTTGCATGTTTCTATTTATTAATCAAAATAAACCACAAGGTGATCAATGTATAGTTGTATACTTGGGATATGTTTCAACGTGGAATCCACTTGTGGTGGTCAGTACTAATCCTCGTCTGCACGACACTGTTAACCTTTCATTTTTCATTTTTTTCAATAAAAGCTCAACTGTATTTTGTAGGTTCTCGTCCGTTTCAACTGAGGTCAATTTAAAGTATGAAAAGAATTCTTAATTTGGTATGACATTTTGGGAAGTTTATTTAAAACATTCCTAAATTCTTAAATTATAATTAACAAATTTAAATATATGATTAAATAAAATGATGGATGAAAAAACCATATCGAAATACATACCGGGCGTTTAGCCAATTTTTTTAATTATCAAAACAGACCTCTATTCATATCAAAAGATTCAGGATCATTACATTAAACAAAGAGAAAATAAAACTGACACCAACTGAAACTCCAACAACTACGACTATAACCTTATGGTGAGACTTTGAGACGGTCACCCCTGAGAGAGCAACACGAATCGCTAACCATGTAGTGGGCTTGACACAACCAAATCTGTTCTCATAGATCCAACCATACCCAATGGCATAAACAGCGGCAAAAAAACTCAAACAACTGTCAAAACCAACAACACAAAAAGACACAAGAAAACAAATAACAAACAGATAAAAACTACAAGAAAAACTTTCACGAACTCTAACGCCTTGTACATCCCATGGTGGTGGTTCAAGAGCATGTCGTACCACCGGTACCATGCTAATTGATCCTCCATGACATTTGGCTGCCAAAAACCATGCATCAATCCTCTTTCCCCACATAACCAAACTCATCCATGCTCCGTGCGACCAGAGTAAACGGATAGGCGGCGCCGATCTTCTCCAACGACGACAGCAAGTCAGCAACGCTGCATCCTCGACCCTTGACCACATCGCCGATCTCCTCGAGCCATGACAGCAAATCCGTCCTCCTCCACCGATCTCCGCCCTTCGCGTCTGACTTGGACTCCAGCCGAGCACCAGCGACCAAGCTAAGGGATAGCAAAGCCGATCTTCGACAAAGTCGAAATCGGAAAAAGGCTCCAGCGGCCGACATAGTCAAAGCCCTAGAGAGAACTCACAACAAACAAATTAATTAGAGAAGCCAAGAATCACATCCGCATGCCAATCACATATGAAACAATGGCCCTATTATTACTCCCCAGGTTTCTATTTCAAAAAATATAACCACTTTTGTTTTTCCCCAAAACGTGACCCCTCCCTCCGTCTCCCGTGAATTAGACAGGTCGCCCGCAGGCCGCATCCATCTGCATCATCATCCGAGATGAACAAGCTCTTCGCATCTGCTCCGAGATCTACCAGCTCTGCATCGCCTATCTTCTTCCGTCACCAGCTCCGTCGAAGACAGCGAATCTCGCCGCCTACACCACCAGACGCCGCCCGCTCCAGATCTGCTCCACAAGCTTTGTCCTTCCGTCGTGTCTGCTCCAAATCCGCTCAACTCCAGATGATTCACCACTTCGGCGAGCTCGGAATGAAGGACGACGCTTCGGATATGGCTCCAATGGACGACGACCAAAGCTTGGAATCCATTGACGACTGGAGAAGCTTTGCGATTTCATTTCTTCTTCTGCAATTTCATCCCTTCTTCTTTAATTTATCCTTCTGTGATGGTCTCCATTGCTAAGGTTAGAAATCTGGCCGCTGGGACTGAGATCTGGTGAGGCAGGTGGGTTGGGTGACGCAGAGTGAGGTGGGTGAGGCAGGGGGCTGGGATGAGACAGGGGAGTGGGGTGGGTGAGGTAGGGGGCTGGGTGAGGTAGGGGCTGGGGTGTGGTGGTTGACAGCGGAGGTTGGCAGGTCGCAGACTTTGGCCGGTTGTGTTGGGGGGGGGGGGGGGGGGGTGAATCTGGGCGGTGTTGGGGGTGGATCTGGTTGTGAGGGGTTGATGGACGGCTCTAGGCTAGGACAAGGTGCAAGGGTTGTGCCGGAGTGTCAATAGCACGCGGTGGCGTCACTGCGACGGCGTCACTGCGGTTGTGTCCGGCTACAGTGACATGGGTGGGAGCTATAGTGACACGAGCGGTGGCTACAGTGACACGGACGGTGGCTACAGTGACACAGGCGGTGGTTGTAGTGACACAGGCGGTGGCTACAGTGACACGGGCGGTGGTTGTAGTGACATGGGTGGTGGCTACAGTGACACGGGCGGTGGTTGTAGTGACATGGGTGATGGTTGTAGTTACAAAAAAACGAACACACAGTGACATAAAATTTTTGCAGTTACATCATGTTTTCTAATTGCACATATATGACCTTCTTGATCACTTTTTTGCCCCCTTTTAAAAGTGATCACTTTTTGGGTAAATGGTTCAAAATTAGTAATATCCAAGTAAAAACCCCATCACATATTACACAAAAATTTTTACCGTACAGCCAAATTAAAACACCTTTAATTTAACATCTCGTTTTATCATATTTCTAATAATTTTCTCTTACATAAATTCAAAAACAATTCTTGTCGCATATAAATTCTTGTCCATAAAACACGTACATACGTAGTATGATATAATAATTAATAACAAATAAGCATGCTTAGTTAGAAACAAAATCAGCCGGGAACACGACCTCCGTCCTCCATAGCACAAGTTACATTCTTCAAATTGTGATATTTGAAAAAAAATGTGAAAAACGTCATTATTTTTTTGAAAGATATACGGAGTAGTTAGTAATTGAGATGTAAAAAATATAATAATATTTAAATCTTTAAATAATAAAAAAACACAAAAAATTACGGAGTATAAAAATCTAAATTTTGTAAAAATCAAACATTATATAATAATGTGAATTTATAAATTATTCAAAAATGTAAAAACATAAGAAAATTAAAAAAATGGAATACAATGTTATACATTCCTCCAAAAAAACCAAGTCGAAATTTATTATTTCCAAACGGAAAAGCCAGTCCCCCTTTAAATTATTTCCAATTTTTTTTATACATTTTGTGTGTTTTTCTTCGAATTATTTGTAAATGTATCATAATTCCTGTACTTTCTTACATTTTACTTTCTCTTTAAGAAGTAAAAATATTAATAATAATTTTATAAGCAATATATACGGAGCATGGTATATGAGCATTTTCTATATAATAAATACTACTCTATAGTATATAACTATTTTTCCTGTTTTGCTATATAGCTTTCTAATGTTTAAATAGGCTTCAATATAATTTCTTATATATGTAAAGTGTTTTCAATTTTTTAAAATTTTTTGTGGTTGCAGGTAGTTTCTAAGAATATTTTCAAAACAAAGAAATCGGACAATTTTTAATATTTTCTGGACATTTTTAGAAAAATATGGGTCTCTGGGAGTAACCAATGGTAGTGGGGTGGAGACAAGACTAAATGGGGAATAAAAAGAATTAATTGTCATTAATTAAAAAGATGAAACTTACAAAAAAATCCCAAAACATTGATAAACAAGGCCGAAAAGCTCTCTAAATTTCGTGTTCGGCACTCTCTCTAAGCCCCCTCAAAAAGGAGATTTACGGGCCGTTTAAATAAAAAAACGGGTGAAATTTGAGCTGAATTAGGATTTTCAGAGGCAGACAGTGTCTTCAACCGTGCCTCCGGGGGAATCCCGCGCATCATGGCCAGGCACGACGTGCCTCCCTGCTAGGCACGCCCATGCCTGGCAATTCAGGGAGTTCGTAGTAATGAGTGTCTTTCATTTGGCAATTATCGACTTGGGAGTTGGGAGTAAGGTGAATGTTTGGAGGTGATTTGCTGGTGAGATGCTAAACAAACTTATTTCTGTTATAATATGGAAGGAAATAAGCAGAAGATCAGGGAGAGAAATATAGTATGAACACTTAGTGATAGATTATATTATTGAGAGTGTGATAATGGTGTAACCATGGTGTGTTAATTACAATGAGAATGACTCCTATTTATAGGAGAAAGTGTGAGCTCAATGAGATTAGGAGATCATTGTGAGCCACACATTTATCACCTTGAAATCATAATTATGATTTCCTAATTATTTATATAATGGTGATAATAATTCCTAATCAGGAATAGTTGGAAGATGACTAATTCAATTATATTTCAACACTCCCCCTTGAATGGTCATCTTCTAATTATTCTGGGGTATTAGTTTCATAGTATTATAACGTACTGTCTCGTTAAAAACCTTTGTCAAGAAAAACCCAGTGGGATAAAAACCTGACGAAGGGAAAAAGAGTGCAGTGCATTATATTACCCCCCCTCAATTTAACATATATCTCGAAGACGATACATTCCAATTTTATGGACCAGTTCTTCAAATTTCTTCGGTGCCAATGACTTTGTGAACAAATCAGCAGGGTTGTCGCATGACTTGATTTGTTTGACATCAACCGTTCCGTCTTTCTCAAGATCATGTGTGGAGAAAAGTTTTGGTGCTATATGCTTTGTTCTGTCCCCTTTGATGTAACCTCCTTTGATCTGAGCTATACATGCTGTATTATCTTCATAAATCACAGTAGGATTAGAAGTAAAAGATTTTATACCGCATTCATTTTGTATGTGCTGGATCATTGATCTCAACCAGACACACTCACGACCTGCTTCATAAAGAGCAATTAATTCTGCATGATTTGATGATGTTGCAGTTAATGTTTGCTTCATTGATCTCCATGATATAGCGGTATCACCATAGGTGAATAAATATCATGTTTGTGATTTTGCCTTTTGTGGATCAGACAAGTATCCTGCATCCGCGTAGCCAATTAAAGTGGCATTTGCACCATTCTTGAAATACAATCCAAGATCGATTGTACCATTGAGATATCGGAATATATGTTTGACACCATTCCAATGCCTTCTTGTTGGGGAAGAACTGTACCTGGCTAATAAATTTACAGAAAAAGCAAAATGTGGTCGAGTATTATTAGCCAAATACATTAATGCTCCAATAGCACTCAAATATGGTATTTCGGGACCAAGGATTTCTTCATCATCTTCACAAGGTCGGAAAGGATCATCATGCACATTGAGAGATCGAACCACCATTGGAGAATTGAGCGGATGTGCTTTATCCATGTAAAATCGCTTCAAAAGTTTCTCGGTATAATTTGATTGGTGGATGAAAATACCATTTCTCAAATGTTCAATTTGAATGCCGAGACAAAATTTTGTTCTCCCAAGGTCTTTCATTTCAAATTCTTTCATGAGATATTTTGCAGTATTTTCAATTTCATTAGGAGTTCCGATTATATTCAAATCATCAACATATACTGCAATTATGGCGAATCCTGATTCGGATCGCTGACTGAAAACACATGGACTAATAGGATCATTTTTATACCCTTCTTTAATCAAATATTCACTGAGACGGTTATACCACATGCGTCCAGATTGTTTTAATCCATATAATGACTTTTGCAATTTTATGGAAAATAAATCTCGAGATTTCGAGCTATAAGCATCAGGTATTTTAAAGCCTCCAGGAATTCTCATATATATGTCTGTATCGAGTGAACCGTATAAATATGCGGTCACCACATCCATTAGGCGCATTTGTAGCCTTTCAAAAACAGACATGCCAATTAAAAATCTTAAAGTTGTAGCATCAACTACTGGAGAATACGTCTCATCATAATCGATTCCTGGCATTTGAGAAAAACCTTGGGCAACAAGTCGGGCTTTGTATCTAAAGATTTCATTTTTCTCGTTGCGTTTACGCACAAAAACCCATTTAAAACCGACAGGTTTTACGCCTTTTGGCGTATGGACAATTGGTCCAAAAACATTACGCTTTTCTAGCGATTTTAATTCTACCTGAATTGCTTCATTCCATTTTGGCCAATCATTTCTACGACGACATTCGTCAATAGATTTAGGCTCATTGTCATCGTGTTCATTCATTATATCTATGGCGATGGCATATGAAAATATATCATTAACATCAATATCATTTCTATTCCATTGTATTCCATTAGAAACGTAATTAATTGAAATTTCAAAATTATCGACGTTTCTATCTTTATCTGGAATATTTACCTCTTCGAAGGTGATTGGATCCTCTTTTGAGGTATCATTATTATTGATGTTATCTTCAAGGGCGATATTTTCAAAATGTTCATTTTCTTCTTGAGAAGGTTGAACTTCTTTGGCATCACACACTACAACTTGTTGTTTAAATTTTCTTGGTTTCAAATCTCTTGAACCAAGTGGTCTACCACGTTTTTTACGTATCATAGATTCATTAGCAAGTGTTCTTTCGCTAATCTCCGCAGGAATTTCTATTCGAGAAGGAGCATTCATAGCTGGAACATGTGACTTTGTCACTTTCTTTGAGTCTGTGAAAGCATCAGGCAATTGGTTTGCAACATTTTGTAAATGAATAATCTTTTGAATTTCTTGTTCACAAGCATTTGTGCGAGAATCAAGAAAAGATAAATTTGTTGCATTCCAAGTAATATCTTTCGTACGTGGGTCCATTTCTTTAATATCTCCCCCTAAGGCTGGGAATACTGTCTCATCAAAACGACAAAAGGGGGAAAAAGCGGGTGCCCCTTTATGTGTAGATTTCTCTACTATTTATGCTTGATACTAATCTGCAGGGATATCTTTATTATGGCACCTAATGTTTGTCATCAACAAAAAGGGGGAATTTGTTGAGTATGTGGTTTTGTTGATGACTAATCATGCAGGTGGAACGGGGGACAGAACCGACTACGGAGAGTTCTAATATGAACTCTGGACAGAACAGTTCCACGAAACATTCGGTCCCATAATTTGTTATGTGTCTGCATGTGCATGTCTTTCAACGTATGATATTTTACTGCATTAATACCTTTCCATAATTGATTGAATATTTTGTGAAATGTATTGCTACATATGCTTTATGGAAAGTCACTTTATGGAAAGAAATATGAGTGCTTTTTAAATATATACGTGATTTGCTTATTTGAGTGGTACGTATATTACTTTGCTTATTTTATGGAAAGTATCCTCCTTGCTAATTGCTATAATGTGCTTGCATGATTAATTGCTTATCTAAGTATACGTGGGTTATTTCAAATATCTTTCCATGCATGACTAAGCACCCATCTTAGTGAGTTTGACCTCAACAATGATTAAAATGCTTTATGGAAAGTTTTTTTTAAAAATAAAAAAAAAAGGGCTTTGCATGACTCATGTTTCAACTGACCGTAGGATGCTTAAATACTTTGCAGCCTTACAATTTGAAAAGTCATCTTATGAAGTAAATATTTTTGGAATGAATATTGATTGATCTCACGTACTTTGAATGAGCCGAAATATTCTCTTAATCTATGACTGATATGCCATCTTAAATATATGATTGTGATATTTTAATTTGGCTGCCTTATATACTGCATAAGCTCGGATATGAGATATATTATGAAAGGAAAGCAATTCAAATAATATCAAGGCAAGTTCCAAGTATGGAAGCTCAATTTCTTAGTGAAAGAGACACCAACGGACAAATCAAGGTAGCCTATATATAATCGAAGAAGCTAAAGAGAAAGGGGTGTGCTGAACCGAGAAAAATACTTAGAAGAATCATTCAAGAAAAGATCAAGTCCTTGGCGACTGAAACTGCCTGCTCGGAGTTCTAGATAGAGTTTCTCCTTTCCCTTTCATATTGTACTTGGAATATTGAGGCTTAATTGGCTAGAGTAGCTGCCTCGGGTTAAGTGTGTGTGAGAGCTTTGTGACAAAGCTGAGAGGCTCTCTACCCGCAAGGTAGAGATGCATAACTCTTCCTAGAGAGGATAGAGTTGGGGAGGCTCAAGGGTAGATTAGGAGAATCACTCTTGTAACTCTTTCAAAGGCTTGTTTAGTGAAGTTGTTTAAAATTCCTCCGAGGGAGGTCGAGGTTTTTTAATCCCTTTGAGCCAAGGGATTTTTCCTCGTTAAATTCTTGTGCACTTTACTGTTTTGCAATTCCCTTTATCCCACACTAGAACTCGGCGAAAAACTGACACGGTTCCACACACACACAATTCACCCCCCCTCTTGTGTTGCTAACCGTTTTCATCAGTTCCCATTCATGCTGACCGCGACCCTCCCACTGCATGCGTGCCTACCAACAGCCGTTCTCATGCGCCACCGTTGTCCCCTTGCCTACTCACCATGGTCGTGCCCTTGTATGCACGCCTACCCTATGCCGCCGTTGTCTCCATGCCTGCACGCACACCACACAAGGTATAGAGACAAACCCTGGGTTGGAGATGATTGAAGACTGTGTGCAATGAATTCTAAAACAGTGAGTAGTGAGCGCAATGTAATTTGTATTTGATGCAATAACATGACAAGAACAGAGCCGGCCACGAGGCCATTTCACCTAGGCACTTGCCTAGGGCCTCACTTTTTTATTGGGGCCTCAAAAACAAAAATTAGTTAAGCTATTATGGAGTAAGTTTTAAATTTAGTTATTCGAAATTGGTTCTGGAGTTTGACGAAGTACTCTTTGGCCAAACCTAAACTTTTTCACCTTATTTAATGAATTGATAGTGCGGTCTGCATTTGAGGCTTACTGTCCACTAGCCACGTATGGAGTATTATCTTTTGTCATTATATGCTCCTTTTTTATTGAACTGATTACATTTTTTGAAAGTTTTTGGTTAATAACTTAAAAAATAATTGCAATTGGGCGTTTAGTTAGTTAGCTACTACGCAGTAATATTTTATAATTGCAATTGGAATTGTTATTTTTTTATTTTTTGTTAATGGTTTTTCTATTAATTATTATCTTTTTTTTCCTTTTTTAATTATTATCTATAAATATGCTAAATATGTAGGAATTATCATGACGGGTAAACCAGTAAAGAAAATTTCTCATTAATATGTAAAGAGAAACAATAAGTTGAAAAGAGATGTGGTTATTAAATTGCTTACCGACTCTATTGATCGATTGTATAGACAAATTTTTCTTCCTCAAAATTGTTGGCAATGACAATGCGGATGTTGAATTACTATTTTATCTTATTTTCATGAGTATGTGTTATATGAATCACATTAATATAATATGTGTCAAAATAAGTGGCACACTTTATTTTTTGGATTGCATTAATATTAAAATAAGTTTCAAACTTTTATTTTTGAAAAACAAAATCACCCCAAAAGCCTTTTTCAATAAAAGAAAACAGTACAACTAGTCAACTACAGTACCTAAAAACTCGTAATTTTAAATTATGGAAAAAACATACCCTATCACATATTATGATACGGAGGTGGTACTAAACGTTTTTCACCTCAGGCCTCCAAAGCGCTAGAGCCGGCCCTGGACAAGAAATACAATGGTTAAGGCAAGAAGTGCAATAATATAATGTAGCACATTCATATTGACATAAAGTGCACTTATCAAATCTAAGAGGGAAAAAAAGAACTATATATTTCTAACATTTTTATAAAGTGCACATTAATATCACTCCGGCATGAAGTGAAATAACGCGACGCCCATATAAAGTGTTTTGTATCGTAAACATTAAAGTTACAAAAATCAAAAGGAAAAAAAGAACAGATAATGCATAACCTTTTTGTAATGCTTTTAAAAAAAGTTACAAATACAAAATGCTCCTAAAATGCGCTCCTAACTTAGAGCATTTTAATATTCAAGTCACTATTGGGTTAAATAATAAGAGAACTTACTAAATTAGTTATTTACTTCTTCCGTTCTTAAATAATTGCAACGCTTTCCTTTTTCGGCAGTTTCAAAATAATTGCAACCTTTCTCTTTTAGGAAATAAGCAATAGATGAAATGACTATAATGCCCTTAATAATTCAACATGAAGACCCATCCACCTAGGGGTGGTTCAGTATGGTATACCTTATATTTTTTCTCATACCTTTGCCATACCAAAACTTTCGGTATGCAAAATTTG